ACTCAACGTTGTGGTGCTCTGCAATACTCTGAAGAAGAGTTGTATAACAGATGAATAACAGTGGGCCTATCACTGACCCCTGTGGTACTCCCCATCTAATCACTTCAGAGCTGGACGTCTTACCGTCGATGAGTACTCGTTGCTCCCTTCCCTCCAGGTAAGAGGCAAGCCATGTTTTTACAGCACCGGTGATGCCAAAGGAGGCTGAAAGCCTCTTCAGCAAGATGCTGTGATCAACAGTGTCAAAGGCTGAGCTAAGATCAAGGAGAACCAGCATTGCTTCATTGCCGTCATCAAGGATTTTCAATAGGTCATCTTGCACTCTGGTCAGAGCTGTTTCAACACTAAATGATGGTCTGTAAGCTGACTGTCTTGAAGCAAGCAGAGCGTTGTCCCTCAGATATGTCATAAGTTGCTGACATGCAACTCGTTCGATGATCTTGCCGAGGTAGGGAAGATTTGAGATAGGCCGATAGTTTCGAAGACAATCAGGATCAAGGCTAGGTTTCTTAAGAGTTGGTATAATCACAGAAGACTTGAGAGCTTCAGGGAAGACTCCTGACTGCAGAGACTGATTTGTAATGTCTGTAATGGCTGGTAGAAGTTCCTCCATGCATTGCCTAAAGACCTGTGCTGGTATCGGATCAGACATACATGATTTTACTTTAGAAGATTTTATGATCTTCAAGACGTCCTCTTGACTGACAGGATTAAAGTTCTCGAGCCGACAATCCATCTGGATATCATTCTCCACACGAGTATTCCGCGATGTAATTTCCAATGTAGCTCGAAGGTTGCCTATTTTGCTGGTGAAATAACTCAGAAACTCACGTGCTATATCAGTTTCAGGAGGGTATGCTGGTAGGGTTTGAGCAGGCCTTTCGGTAGTAAGACTCTTCACACTTGCAGTCCAGTGCAGTGTTGCATGAAACAAGTTTCGATGGGATGATGGCAAACTTCTACTTACAACGGTTTCTTGAAACGATGCGCTGATCACAAACTTATTCCTCCTCCTCTCTCTGTACACATCACGTCTTTAAAAACTTGACAAGATAACACAAGAGATGATTTCTGCTAAATCATTTATTGAACAGTCCAGTTGAAAGGCAATGGGTATTGAGTGCAGTGGGATGTGTTCCTTCTTAGAGTACTGATAAATATATCAACAAGTGAAACAACAGTGCAGCACATTAGACAGGTTGCGGTCAATGAAGTTGTTAAAAGGGGGAGAAATGGAGGAGGGGTGAGGTGCCACCCCCTCCCAATGTTAAATATTTCATCTGTTCATTTATTTTTTACAACAATAAAAGTACAAAAGTGTACAAATTACTTAACAGCCCCCTCTCAAGAAATCAAGACTCGAGATAAAAAATGTGTGCACATTTAGGTGTACTTGGGGTGATTGTTTTGTTAATATAATTAGAATTTAATCAATTGAAAACTTGATCAAGGTCATTTCAAAATGTAAATTACACATGAAATCAAATTATATCCAACATTTGTTGGCAAATTTTGTATGAAAAGTCTTTAATAAAAATGTTCTAGAAATGCTCTTAACAAACAATGCAATTTTATTGTAATAAATGAGCATGCACATCTAACAATTTCTTCTCCATATTATGACAACCATCGCATAAATTTAGCAATACACATTTGCAATTTTGACACATTTTTTAAATATTAAATTAATTTGATGGATTATAACAAATGCAGCATGATGACAAATACTATACTTCATCAACAATCTTTAAAAATATAACTGGCTAAATGATTGTTTCACTGCAGTTTCTGGAAATGAAATAATCAGGGTACCAGAATTCTTAGAGGGGGGGGGGGGATCAAGATTTTTGTTGTTGTTTACAAGCAGGATCCTTAAGATATTAATACATTTTAAAGAATACTGGTGTACAGTAAACCAAATTACTTTACCATCAAAAATATATTCAAAATTATTATTTTAAAAAATGAGACTGTGTAGTCATGTCATTGAACCAAATTGGCTTTTGGCAAGCTCATAGCTGGAAGCATTAAAACAAATTAAACAATATAATTTGGAATCAGATTGGTATTTTACCAAGTCTCTGTTACAATTTTGTCACATTTTTTCGTATACATTAAACAAAATTCACATTGCGGCTTCATCACCTGCCATCACAAGTACATAACTGACATAATTAATCTGGAGTATGAATAGAAAGCTATCTATTCTTCACAGCTACAATCCCTAAAAAAAGAGTAGAATGACGACAGTACTTGTTATACATAGAATAATGACAACCAAATATCTCTGAGATATAACCGAGTTGTAACAATAGAAACAGTACTAAATTAAACAAGAATTAAAATAATAATAATAATAAAAACTGTGCTTATAAAGTGCTTACCTCCAAAGTCTCTAATACATTCAAATATACAACGATACAAGTACCTATGAATATGAGGTAGTACTACATGTAGATACATAAATATGTATTAAAACAGTTAACGTACAACTAGACATATGCCCATTACCTGTATTGAAGATACATGATTTTGAATATGTTATTCTCCTGCAAATATTTACCAGTAGTCACAATACAATACCGTATTGAAGTACTTGTATTTTCAAATGTAGCTGCTTTTTGTGTTTTTTTTAATCTAGATGCTAGTACTGTGACCTCGTTACTTAATTTGCCAATTACAATGTGAAAGTGTTACAGAAATAAATACACCTTTTCCTTAGCATTCTAATAATGAAAGTGAATAGTTTTGCCAGTTATGAATGAAAAGTGATAGAACCCCAACATGGTGATTACTCTGGGTGAACACCAAATGTTAAAGTAGAAGACGAAAACAAGGGATTAATGTAATATATATGGAGCGAAAAGAGAGAGAGGGAGAGAGAAAGAAAAATGGAAGTTTACAGAAAGGGACAGTACAGAGAGGCAGAGAAAGCGAGAAGAATACAAACAGCAATAGAAAAGAGAAACAAAATAGAAGTCCAAAGATATTTTGGGCAGGCAAAATTTAGAGAGAGAAGAAGTGGAAAGAGAGAGAGAGAGAGAAGAAGAAGAAGAAGAAGAAGAAGAAGAAGAAGAAGAAGAAGAAGAAGAAGAAGAAGAAGAAGAAGAAGAAGAAGAAGAAGAAGAAGAAGAAGAAGAAGAAGAAGAAGAAGAAGAAGAAGAAGAAGAAGAAGAAGAAGAAGAAGAAGAAGAAGAAGAAGAAGAAGAAGAAGAAGAAGAAGAAGAAGAAGAAGAAGAAGAAGAAGAAGAAGAAGAAGAAGAAGAAGAAGAAGAAGAAGAAGAAGAAGAAGAAGAAGAAGAAGAAGAAGAAGAAGAAGAAGAAGAAGAAGAAGAAGAAGTAGAAGAAGAAGAAGAAGAAGAAGAAGAAGAAGAAGAAGAAGTGGCTGTATGAAGACAAGATTAATGGGTACAATAAAAGTAATACTCTAAACAAATTACATTATACCAAATAAAAAACACCCCAAAACACATACATAATATCTGATTATCTCTACTTTGATCTACTAGAATAATCATAATTCTTCTGTATTGGCACTATCTCTGCAATTCATGCATAAGTTGTTACTATTTCATATTAGGCACATTGATAGTCTTGCACTTAATTATTGTAAGACCTCCCTTTGATCAATTTGCATTATCTTCATTTGAATATATAATAATAATAACAATATTCCGTTTATATATATATATATATATATATATATATATTCTACATCTTATATTTTAGTCTACATAAAATTCTATAATAAACATGATCATGATAATGAAATACACCTTTTCACTGACCAAATATATGTACAACTAATTCCAATTTATACATAATACCACCACAGTACAGTACACATATCAACTATTAGTACTTTATAATCTACATATACATAATATAGAGAGAGTCAACATGAAATATTTTTCTTCAAAGACGTTAGGTAGGTGTGCATGATGAAATACAAGATGAATACAATGTTATATAAGGTGAAAGTGCATCAAGAAAGGAGAAATAAATAGAGGCTAATACTTATGGAGTACTAAGGAAGGACATATTGGGGCAGGTCCAAGCTATTTGGATTGTGACGGGACATTCAGAGACTTTAAACAAGAAATAACAACAGATTTGCAGCGTCCCGTACGTCACGCAGCACATTAATTAAAAGAGTTGGCCAGAACTAAAACTTTCCACAAATGAACTAGCCCATAATAGCCACAGACTCATACCAAAAGACCATACAAAATATAATATAAATACCATATAAATAATTTCATCTGTTGTTATTTCTTGTTTAAAGTCTTTGAATGTCCCGTACGTCACAATCCAAATAGCTTGGACCTGCCCTCTGACAGACATACAGACAAACCTGTCTATAAAGACCACCTGAGAGAAAAATAAATTATAAGTGACCTCTGAAGAAAGGTTCTGGAACACATTACTTCTAAGATGGTGACAAAATAAGTGAACACTACAGATAGATGACCCTAATAGAAGGGTCACCACTACAATGTACATATCTCATTGTATAGGGTTTTTATATAAACATTTGAGAATTACCTTTACCAATAACATTTTTAATAGTCCCTAACCACAACCTTACTTTAGAAATCAAGCCTTCCCAAAGGCTGCAGAAATTGTGATTAAAGTAGTTTTATGAAATTGTCATGGTTATTCAATTAAAAATTGGCATGGTTTTGATTGCTCAAGAAATGTGTGTGTGTGTATGAACTATTACTATGGACTTGACAAGTAAATTGCAGGTACACTCGAGAGTCAAGATTACATTACTTTGCTAAATATAAAGGGGGAAAACACCTAAAAATACATACCGGTACATCAAGAAACAAACCCCCAAAATTTGTATTATCATTTGAGTTGCAAAATCAGTCAATAGTAATTTCTAGACATGAATACATGTACTATCAGAACTGTAGACAGAATACATAACCGACAGAAACATACCCACATTATTTAAATGTACATACATTTGTAACCTGCACAAACAAAACAAATCAAAAACACTGAGCACAAATAAAATAAAAACAAATATATACACCTTTGATAATACTGAATGAAGGGAATAAAGATGACCAATAATAATACTGTGGTAACGCAACAACGTCTTACAAATTATTTTAAAAACTTTCCATACACAGATGAATGGAACTCAAATCCCATATATACAGAGTACATTAAATACAATATTAAAATTCCTCCTGTGCAGTACTGAAGATATATGTACTGAAATTCAAGGAATACAATTTACAATAAAAAACATTCCAGATTTCAAACTAGATTAAAATAAATGATGCGATATACAGACAGGAACTCAACTGTGATACCACTATAGAAGCCTGCAGAAGCTTGGCACTACATCGTAGTTTGTTGAGGATTACAAATGAAAAATGGGGATACATCAGTCTCTCCAAACACAAATAGAGGTCCATCATATGAAAGTTTACTGCACCAGATTACTATCGTAAACCCTGTCCTGTTCTTGAAAGATGCTACTTGTGATATCATTGTTTTTTTCCATATTTTGTAGAAGCATATTACATTAATTCTGAAAAATCAAGCATTTCATAATCACATATATGATATATCCACACTAAACAACACATATATTCAACCTCACTTAAAGGTTAGTAGCACCAGTTATATTTCAAGTTCAATTTCAATTTCAATTTGTAACAAGGTTATTAATATTAACATGAATGATATCATGGACACCCTGCAACATATCTAATGATTATTTGTTTAAAGTACAAAGTAAAGTAAAGTACTGTATAGTATAATTAGTAGGGCCTCCACGGAAAACAGTATTTAACTACTGATGGAGCCACTCTACTAAAACAATACTAATAAATAAATAAATGAATAAAGTAGCTTACTTACTGGAAATATTTTGCATGTTGATAAATTCACAATTAATGAGTGATTCACGAAAATCGCGGAAATAATTGCTTATGCAGTACTTTACAATCCTGGCAAAAGTTGATGAATCAAACCCTTATGTAGCATAAAGGTATGACTTACGACTCGTGTATGTCTTAATGATCTCTATCCTATCCACCAGTACCTACACATTAGTCTGCAGGCTTCTCTTTCTCCATGGTTTCTATTCGTTATTATCTACTAGCTGGTATTTCAAATTAACAGCCACCTTCTTTCATGTTTGCTGCAAAAGGAGCATAATCATTTTCAAAAGACCTCTTATCTATTAATGCAACAAGCGAGTCAAGTGATTCCAGGCCTTTGATTCTATGCTAAGATGATTATATTTCATTTCAGTGACTTCCTTTTCAAGTTTGTTTCTACCAAAGTATTAGAGAGATTTCAAACAATACAAGGAATACAACCATAGTAAACATGGTTATTCAATGGAAACAAAAACACCAATATATGATTTCACCCTGTTTAATACATGTATGTATCATCTAAGCTGCAAGCCAGAAGGGCGTTAAATATGCATGAATGGATGTAAGTAAACGTCCTTCTGGCTCTGAGCTGATGATATGCTTTGGAAATAATAAGAAGTACATACCGGTAGTAGACTTGGCACTAAAAGAGTTGTATTGATTTTCTGTTATAAACTTCTTGGATATATCTTAACTACAAAAGGTAACCAAGCGTCACTGCCATTTAGGAGAATGGCAAGACTCAAGAGGCTACCAGATAATTCCTGCTTTGAGCACAAAATCGTCTGAAGCATGTCACCGATACTCAAGAGTCCTTTCGTAATGAAATGAGCATCAAGTCTGAGCTGATCTCTATATTTGATGGGAGGTTGCCAATAAAAAGGAACGTTCTCTGTACACATTTCTTAAAGAGATATCCATATCTGACCTACACAATGTAATAGTTTTATCAACCAACCCCAAACTGCAGACTCCCCTTGGCATAAGACTCGCAGCCAATGTTTACTCAACGAAGTTGCTTGCTTGCTGATTCCACAGTGTGGCAGAAGACAAAGATTAGGGCTACCTTTGTCGTATGAGAGGAACTGATCAGCAGCAAGTACAGATGATCTATCAGCAGTACAAGATTTTGAAACAGCAAATATGCAGCAGATCTTGGGGATAAAAAAAAAATATTCCGCATGTATGCCTTTCCTTTCAGTGTAACACTAACAGGCAGTGCAATTCAACCTCCCATTGCACAAAGGGTTCTCCAAACATTGGCAAATCAGTATTTTACCTATACTGCATTTTAGCTGCAACTGTGACCATTGCTGAATACCAGTAGAATGAATATCACTGGGACTCTGCTTCTAACTTGCGACTGATCTAGGACACATGTTGGCTCAGTGGTTGAGCAGTGGTCTTGTCACCATAAGGTCCTAGGTTCAAAACAAAGTAAATGCATTAGTGCCTTTGGTAAGGCATTAACCATCACTTACCAAGGCAAAGTCCTTCACATGGGACTTCAAGCCACAAGTCCACTGGTTTAAATACCCGACTCTGATAAGATCATCTTCACCATCACCTTCTGGGCAACACAGCTCGGCGTCACAGTTGCAAAATACAAAACATGTCTATCTTCTCACATGATCGGAAACGTCTGGATAACATACGGCCACTCCTCCTTCTCCCAGACTCCATTGGGTCTTGCGTTGGGCGGGCTCTCTTTCCAGTCCCACTGAGTGACCTTCTGATCCCACTCGGTGCCGTAGTTGGCCTCGATGTAAGGCAGGGTGGGACAGGGGACCCGCACATGAAGACCTACCAGCTCGGTCCAGCACAGATCAAATTGATGAAACACATACCTGGGTTAAAAAGTAGAATAACACAATATAAAGATTGTGATTTTAAAGATATCAAAATGGTAAAATTGGTCAAAATTGGTCCATATCATGAGTAAATAAGTCTATTTACCATTTGTATTGCATTTAAACAAGGTGAATCTCCATGTATGGACAAACCAAAATTGAATAAAAATTACAATTAACTTTAATCTCTATTTTGAATAAATTAAAATAGGGTTTTTTCTGCTTTGTAGACAAAATTTCTGAGCCCTTCATGAACATACTATAATATCTAGAAAAGTGATATTTTCACCACAGATCCTCTACCAATGGACAGTGTTAGCCTTTAGGATAAGGGTTAGGGTTAAGTTGGGGTTACCCTCATCCCTAACAGGGCATGATAACAATATTATTATGTTAACGTCTATTAAGGTGTGTTTCTCCAGTTGGATGAAAAACAGCTACGTACTTCATCATGTATGGGTTTAGCCCAAATCAAGCTTTGAAAGCAATGCTGTCATGCATTCAACTTACTGATATTTGTCTCCAGTATGGGAGTCAGTTCCGCCATTCCATACAAATTCATCGTCTTCATAGAAGAAAAATATGTCTAACTTGACGCTATCCCTTGCAAAAGACAGCTCAAAACTGTCCTCTACCTGTGGAGAAGAAAAAAAGGGGGAAAAAAGAAAAAGATTATCTGGTTGTATTCTTCCTGCGGTTAGACCCACTATCACTTGTTTATGGAAAACAGGGTATTTAATCATAGTGCTAAATATGGTTTCAGCTCTGCAAGTGACTGGATCAAACTAGGAACTTAGAAATACAAATTAAAACCAACCGTAACTTACACCATAGTTTAAACAGTTCAATGATTTATCAACTTTAAATCAATTTTATTGAGTCCCCTCGTTGTTGTTTTCTTCAAAGATGTAGACATTTTTGTTGAAATACAATTATTTACAAGACAAGAAAACAAAACAAACAAACAGCATATAGTGTGCAAGAGATAAAGGGCAAGGTAAAATACCATTTTATCCATTTCTGAAATTTGAACTTTCAGTAGGCTATGGTGCTAGATGGGTCCAAAGTTTTTATGAACAACATTGATAATAAAGAAAACATTTCAATGACTTCTAAGCTTGATAAGATAAATTTGACCACAATGTAAGCACTTTCAGTATCACTTGACTATATTGAACAATACATTTAAAAGCAAGACAGAGAGGGGGATTTATCCTGTGGTTGAAAGCAAAAGGATAACCTGTACCTTTCCGAATAGATGTAGAAGCTGAAGACCTTGGCCTTCCATTGCTGGTATTATCCTGTCGTTATAATCCTGGATACGCATGCCCAAGTCTACATCCATACTGTGGGCGATAATATTGCACTCTCTAAACCAACCTGCACGAGGATAGACAATGATGTAAGCATGATTTACTTATAACAGAAACTTTTGTGCATATAAATAAAGCCAGAAAATATCATTTCATGCAAAATATCGTGACACAATTTATTGGTATTTCAATTAAATGACAAGTGCTATGTGGAACATTTACTGAGAGAGAAATAGAGAGAGGGAGGGAGGGAGAGAGAGAGAGAGAGAGAGAGAAAGAGAGGAAGGGGAGGGGTGCTGTTCTCAATGTGTGCTAAGGTCAACCGTATGAATTCCATGCCTAGACATCCATTTGTTTGAAAGAAAAGGGTGGATTGCCTGTGCCCCCTGAGCCCCCCCCCTCCTCCATAAGGCCTGAATGGAAATACATGTACATGTACCTACACATCAAATCTGTTCACATATCTTCTATGGGTGTGCAATAATGAGAAAAGTTAGACTAATAGTTGTGAAGATCTTAGACTTAGGTATTGCATTTCTATTCCAATCCTCCCAAAATGTTAATAGTCTGCTGATTCCTACTAACGACTGAATAATATGATTTTCATAAGCCTCGTAACATAGGAAGAAACCGGCTCATATACTCTACACTTATAAGTTGTTAATGTCTTATACCATGAGGCAAGTATGCAACAACATACCTAAGCATGTTCCACTGCTAATCCAAAATGGAGCCCCTATACCATCCAAAGCCATCATGCCCCTCTCAAGGATTGATCTGGCTCTGGTTCTAAAATCTGCAGCTTTGGGAGTATCGTCCACGCCATTCTCTGCCAGGTACTCCCTAGCCTGCTGGTAATTGCACTCTATGAAGGTAGAATTTGGCACCTGTTGCGTCAGTTTCATTGGGTGCTTTGGGACTGTCAATAATACACCGTCTATCTTGATGTCTGCAAACTCCATTCTAAAATGTAGCAGATAAGTTAAATTTCATATAAGACATATGATGTTGCCTACCAATTACAGAATTTGTATATACTTTGCATTCACCATAGGTAATGTGGCAATTAGATGATTGGAAGATGGAATGCCAAGCCAAAGATTTTAGAAATTTAAGATCTACTAAGTAGTTCTTAATCGAAAAATATCCTATAAATTTTATCATTAAAATGCTAGGTCATCTTAAAAAAAAAATCAAATATATATGTTCAAGAATACTACCGCAGCTCTGTCTGTCTTAAAAAATTACATCACTTCATTTACAAGTTAAACTATCTTTCCCTCTTTACCTCTCCTCTAAAATATAAACCTTGGAAGAGCCTCAAGTTCAACCATTGTGTCAAAAGGAGAGCATCTCCAGCTTACTTTTGAAATGAGCCCTCTCGCTCCCCGCCAAATGGTAGAGTCTTGAGCGGAAACCATAGAAACTGCCCGTCACGCCCCGGCTCCCACTCCCCATCCGAGGCGGCACCGTGCCAGAGGTAAGACTCCGCCCTCTCATACAGGACCACCAGGTGGACGAGGTGTGTCTCATACTGGAAGAAGTAGTGCTGAGGGATGATGCTGGGTGGGACCAGTTCGTTGACAGATAGGAGCCTGGGGTCCTTGCCCTTCGAGAGGGAAGACCTGAAGCCGCTTCTCCAAAGGGCATCCAGAAAATTCTGTGGAAGACAGGGTCAAGAATGTTTTAGTAGCCATCTCTATAGAATGGTCACCTGCCTAGAAAGACCAATCATTGCGAACGTCTTACAATAGTATAATACATCAGGTTAGGAAGGCCAGTTGTCTGTATCACAATCTGCTTTAACAATGACAAAGACTGCCTCTAAATATTCTTACGCAAGTTAAAGATAACAAACTATTTCAGTCAACAAAATCTAACTCTCAATTTCTACAATCATGCCCTTGAGCAAAAGCCAGCTAACATATTATCCACAAGAAAGAAATGACCTTCAGATTAATTATAGTTTCTAGTCAAAAAATTCCAGCCACAGTTTCATACCTGTGTGATCCAATGGCCGGAGATGATACCAAATGTAGTGGAGTCTGTACCCCTACAGAGGAACTTGCATCGCCCCTTGGAAGGTCTTGTACCAGTCCTGTGAGCCCACACTGACTCTAAGATGGCTGGTTCAATGAGGAACACCGGAACGTTGTACTCCTGAGCTATGCTGGTGAATGCTTCCACTGTTATCTGCATAGGTAGCAAAGTGGTTGTATGATCCTTACTCCTGTGACAATTGCTCCACATCAATTTCCCATGCTAACCAAATTCAATTGCAAAACTAACCTTACATTTGTCACAAATTAAAGCCTTGAGCAATTGTCGTTAGAGCAAATGTCAGATTAGGGATCACTGTTAAAGGCGAGGTGTTGTGATATAACTAAAATCTTCGAAAATGTATCTAGCTATCATCATTTATAATAGGTAGCTTTAATCTAAGGATAAAAAGTAAGAATGCTAACAACCTCATAATTATTGACAGATTAACATGTTAAATCTAAGGAAACAACTTTTGTTTACATGATAGCCAGATTGTATTTTATAGTATACTGCATATAGCTTTTTTCTTTTGAAAGAATATCACATTGAGTGTGTTTTATATAGTTTCCATTCATCCAGGCTTACTTAGGACTTAAAAATATAGGTAATACTAATAGCTAGTTCTTGTATAGCGCTTTTCAGGACCGAAGGCCCTCTAAAAGCGCTTTACAGTATACAAATAACGCACGTCCCAGAGTGCAATAGCGGTGAATGCAGTACGCGCGAGGTTTCTTTAGATTGGTGCCGCTCTGTGCAACGAGCCGCTTGCGGCGAGTTGACAGTGCGAACCATCTGAAGAAACCGAGCGTACACTGCATTTACGTTTCGCACAATTGGTCAAGTGCGTTATTTGTTTTATAAAATAGCGACACAAATAGCAACAAACGAAACTTTAGATCTTAAGTTAGAGTCTACGAGAGTTCGATCTAGATCTAGAGTTAGGTTGGTTCTACTCTAGACTAAGACCTTGCAGGCTTACCAAAAAGTCAATGGGATTCATTGCCTTGATTACAAATAAAATCCACAGAGGTCTACAGTGGGTCTCGAGACGAATCTACATCAGACAGCTGAAATTCCTGGCTTCATTATAAAATCCAAAGGTCAAAACAGGCCTAAATCCAAGGCAAAAGTAAAATAAAAATTTGCTTTTTATGTCTAGTAAGTCCATGCTAGAGCTAAGCTACGCGTACGTTGCGCTGGGGATCATGGTGGAGCGTACAATATTAGCTACGCGTAGCCTACAATAATTGCAATGCACTCGAGGGAGCGCGTACTACACGTACGCGCGCGCACTGGATCTCCATGGTCACGTGCAATATAACTTTTTGTTGCGCTTTTTCTGCACTCATTTCTGCAAAATCGTGCTTGCATCAAAAATTTGTCAATGTCATGTGACGCGTATTGACCAATCACGATGCTTAAAATACTAGAGCCATTTTATAAATATATATATTATTACCCCGGTCATCGTATTCAGGCTTGTCCGCACACAATGTATGCACATTTTCCACTCCCTGGGGAGCATTCCAGCCAGGCATCATTTTTACAAGCGCACACTTGCTAATCTATAAAGCACATTAGCTTTCACATCTTACCGGGTACCTATTTAACACCTGGGTGGAGAGTGGGAAATGTTTATCAATGTCTTGCCAAAGGACAATCGTGCCGTGGTGGGACTTAAACCGCGGACCTTGTGATCCACAGTCCGGTGACATATTCACTCGTTCACGAGTCTCACGACATCTCTAACAATACCGATATCTAATAATTAAGAAAGGGAAATGATGTGTGTTACATGTACTTACATAGTCAGGAGATGGATTCCAGTCATCAAATCTTCTCTTCTGATGGATAAAGAAAAACAAAAATCAATCAATTTTGGATGTAGGAGTAAATAATAAAGACAACCCATGCTCTGCAAACTATCTAGACAGCATTAATATAATAACTGCTGCCTTTGCAGTAGCATGATGATTGAAGAATCTATTATATAATGATTAATCAACTTTAAAGCATGCCCATTAACGAAATAGGATCACTTTGACCTTAACTTGTTCAGTATTTTAAAACTTAGTGCTAACATTATCAAACCTTGGATTACCCTACAGACTTCTCTTTTACTCATTGCTCTTCTTTGCTCACTTTTCATTTTTCTCACCTTCTTATTTTTTCCTTGGCCCACATCCTCCACCTGCATCCATGTTGATTTCAGAACGTAAATTTGAAACACAACGAAGATCGCACCAAAGGTCAGCAGAATTAGAAGAAGCTGGGAGTGAGCTCTTCCCATGATATACTGAAATGAAATGAACTTTTCACAATTTAAATGTATTTGCAGTGTATTGTTTGGAGGGTAAGGAGCAATAATTTTTAAATTTTGTTTGCCCCCGAAAATGTGCAAATCGAGCTGGCCGAAAATTCGCTCAGTGGTGGTTGGGGGGGGGGGGGGGGAGTGGGTAGTGAGCTCTAATTTATTTGTTTTCCCCTCCAAAATTTAAAATTTGCACCACCCCCCCCCCTTAAGCACAGAAATGGTGTATTGTTTTAGCATAGAGGGACCACCAATGCTTCTGGAGCTGGCACCAGTCCCAGCAGGTAGAACTTTGCACATTGAGTGCTGTGCAGTGAGTTTACGCGCTCCCATTGGCCGATCCGCTCGAGTGGTTTCGAATTTAAGTGAGAGAGGGCCTACTTTAATACTTAACTTAAGCGCAACTTCAGTTCAATGGCAATGCCAATACGTAATGACATACCGACATGTCATGCTTTCACACGTAACTGACACACACACAGACACAGCATTGCACACACATAAAATAGAATAATCAACAAACATTTCCGAATAAATTTCTGATTTGTACCATATAAATGACGAAAATGAGATTTTTTCAAACTTAAAATAGTGAAATAGTCTAGACTACTTAACCTTTTAAAGATGCTGAAAAAAACTGTAACAAATAGATCTAGAGGGTTTGACCGAAATATCATGATTTTGGTATTGCCTGGATCAAACGGAAAATCACAAGCTTTCTCCTCGCACCGATATCTTATAGAACATTGAGTAAATGGCGGCTAGTAATAGCCAATAAAAAGGGCCCTTGTCGGCGCCAATTTGGGAAAATGAATGAGGCTGCAATTATTCAATTCGCTAAGATCGAATGAATGTTAAGCGCATACTCTAGATCTGTAGATGTAAGCTAAAGTTTTATGTGACCAGTGGTCTCTTTTTGCTTATGGTACCAGCCTTGGCTATAGTAGTACTAATAGAGGTGGGTGTGGCACATCTCTCACATGTGCAAGCGGCCAACCAGCCAGACAGCACTCCGCAGGCCACCACAGCTGGCCCTAGCCTAGGGCCCAGCCGCCACAAACGGCTGCCTCGGCCTCGGCCGCGACACATCCCCGGTGATCCCCCTAATATTCCAGTACCGCGCGAGCCGCGACTGTTTAAATTAGAATAGAGTCTAGAAGCAGCGCACAATCGGTGCACATCAAAGAATTACTTAATTGTCCAAGAACGTGAATGTTTATCGATTTATATTACATATGATATCAATTAATTTGTCACCTGCGTAAAACCAACGTCAGCCCTTGTTAATGTAAAAAATAATACCCGGCCCGGTAAGGTGATTTCCCTGCCAGTCTTGTCATGGGCGCTGCCATTTTTTAGACTTTACAAAAGATAGTTTAATATTTCTCTATGAAAATAGATATTTCCTTCAAAACTATTTTAAGAATTAAAATAAAAATTTAAATAAAAATAAAAATTATTTTTCTTATATCTTTCATTGTCAAAATAATTTGTAAAGTCTGTTTTGATGAACTATAATTAAAGTATTATTATGGAGAAGACATTCTCTGAGGCAAAATTCGGCGAGATTATGTCGTCCGCGATCCGACGTCCCAGACTGACTTCTCCAAGCATGAAGGCTCGATGATTGGACCGGATGCACATTTTTGATACTTTATTCAAATCATTTTGCCTCCAAAATGTATTATTAGACATTTTAAAAACACTATTAGACCACTCACTACCGGAATTGGAGGTGTTTGAGGCAGGGGCGTACGCAGGATTTTTTTCAAGGGGGGGGGGGGGGGGGGGTGGGGGTGGGGTTAAAATCTGGCCCAAAATATTTTGCTCCCGAAAATTTGAAAATCGCACCGGCCGAAAAGTCACTCAGTGGGGGGGGGGGGGGGGGGGGTAAGCGGAATTTTTTTTTTTTTTTTTGGTAGTCCAAAAAAAAATCGCAAAGACTCAGCCAAACGAAAAGTCGCTCAGTGGGGGGGGGGGGGGGGGGAGTAAGCGGACACTTTTTTTTTTTTTTTTGGTCTCGGAATTTGAAAATTTGACATTGGTTTTCGTTGGGGGGGGGGGGGTAAGGTCACTTTACGTTAGCCGTGGGCATAATTTTTTTTTTTTTTTTTTTTTTTTTAATTAAAAAAAAAACAAAGGGGGGGGGGGTTTTAGGGGGGTTTACACAAATAAAAATACCAAAGGGGGGTTTGAACCCCCAACCCCCCCCCCCCCTGCGTACGCCCCTGGTTTGAGGTGACGAACCCGATTCGAGCAGTGGGAGGGGCGAGGGGGGTGGGGTAAGATGCACACACTAGATACCACTGTCTCACTTTGTCCCATTTGCAGGCCAAAAAATATAAAGGTTAAATTCCAACGGCATTTGAAAGACAATACTCCGTTAGAACTTCCCTCAAAACGAAAGGGCTTGAAAAGGGCTTTTAGTGGGAATATTAACGACCGTCAATTAGCATAATCATGTAATTACGAACAATTTCGCAGGCCTGGTGGGTTCCTCTCGGTTAGGAAGGGGGTTGATGAAATACAGCTCATTTTTTTCCCCATCTGAAATTATTTGTATTTGGGGTGTAGGATGTCATCGACCCTCCCAAAGTTCAAGAAATTGGCCATATGTAATTTTTACCCTCAAGGCTTTTTCATATTTTGTTCACAAGGGGCGGTCGTTAAATTTGCACCTATGAAAACAGATACTGAAGCCCATACTGGAGTTTTTACAAATTGATAGGCCTACAAATATTGTAGAAGACTAGACACACTGAAGCAAATTAGTACTCCGGTGAGGGGAGGTGGTTAATTAGTCCGTGCGGCATATAACAACCCTCACTCCCTTTCAAAAACCTTATATGTGGATAAGTAAATCAACCTTTTTCCACTGGCCTTTTTCTCGGCACTCCCTAGATGCATGCATGTGCATCATATTTGTAAACACCCATCTAATTATAGATGAAGGCACTAACGATTCAGTAAAGTAATGTGTAGTATAGAAATACATTTATCAAACCAGGGGCGGATCCAGCTTTTTGCCAAGGGGGTTGACCCAGTGGCGGATCCAGGATTTTCCAAAAATCGCGCCGTTTTACTTTTTTCTTTTCACTTGGCCGCCCGGGGGGGGGGGTTAAACCGCCGAACCCCCCCCCCCCCTAGATCCGCCCCTGCAAACCTCATCGAGTTTATATCAAAATGTAAAATTACATTACTAAAGAGTAAAAGCTAATTTAAATTAGTTGGGCAATCATGACAGATCAATACTTTCTTTAAAATCCTAACATTACCCCTACACCCCGACCCGATTTCATTGACCATTGAGGCGATTTGTCTTTGGACGAATTAGTATAGAACCACACACACTCACTCACTCACTCACACTTGTACGTAGACGTACCGGTACCGGTAGAGATTTGTTTGTTGTTGATGCATGCCACGTACGTTGAGAACTTTCCACGAAAAATGCCTACGTAGCTATACAGACTCGTGCGCCGTAACTCCTGGCGAATAACGCTTCACCGTTCCGCTAAAGGAAGGAGCTAGAGCTAGCTTCAAAGACACCGGTCAACATGTCGGCGGGGAAGGACAATTATCGTGAAGCCAGTCGGCTGTTGTTTCTTTGTGTCATGTGGTATTTAAGCAGCTTGGGACAGAATGTCATCAATAAACATTTATTCACGGAATTTCCTTATCCAACGACTGTTTCAATGTGTCATATGCTGGCAGTTGCGATACTTTTGGAGCCGGTTTTGAGACTCTGGAATGTGCCGGCTCCGGAAGTCATTGACAGAAGACATTTCTTCATTTTGGTTTTACCTCTTGCATTCGGAAAGTTTTTTTCATCAGTTTCAGCAGAATTTAGTATTCTTAAAGTTTCAGTATCTTTTGCACATACTGGTAATTACTAATAGGTTATTACTTATCATCTTCTCTTCTTCTTCTTCTTCTTCTTCAAAGTTCAAGATAATCTGCATCCTACAATACTGAAGATTCTTGCAGATGCCGTAGAGTCTTTTCTACTTCTAGATTATAAAAAGAAATAAACAAGTGGACGTTAGGCCTACACCGCACGTTCATGTTTTCATTACAGTTAAACTAAAGAAACTTGTGTTTTTAATGATCTGACAAGGAGGTCTTTTACTCATTCTAACATTTTACTCAGTTTCAGATTTTTTTTTCTTTCTTAAAAAAGTTAAAGTAGTCACCCGGCCTAATAACCAAAAGCGTTTTTAAAACACCAGTTTACGGTTACAACATTGTGCATGTGCAGACATATGGGCGCCATTTTTACTTACGGGTAAACAAACCACTGACATCTAGAGGTCGGTGGTTTACGCGTAAATAAAGACGGGGCCTATGCAACACAGTGCAGGCTGTGATGCAACAAAACATGCGCATCTGAAAACATTGATGACATCACTGCCTGCGCTGTGCACTCACATCATATTTGCATGGGCGCTATCTTAATTTATGCGTAAACCATTGACCTCTAGAGGTCAATGGTTTGTTTACCTGCAAATTAAAATGGCGCCCATAACCATAAACTGGTGTATTGATGCAAAATTCATATCATTGCAAAGCCAAAGGGGAAGCATTACTGATCAAATATAAGTCTTTAACAACCTGCCTCTTCAAAATAAGTTTGTGCCCTATTAATTTTGAGATCCAGATTTTTGGCCTTAGCATAAGTATTATAATTATGATTTTTCAGCAAATTATTCATGTTTTTCAAGAGAAACTCTATCCATCCATATATAATATGTCCATAATTATCAGTTGTCATGAATTTTCTAAAGTCTAATGGCACGGCCCTGCCCTAAATGTTCTCCCAAGGTTTCCAAATGGAACTTGTTAGGATCTTGAGTTTCTTTTCATTTTTGGATTCATTTTTTGTGAGGGGGGGGGGGGGTAGGTGGTTCGGTCAGGAGTTAAAAAGTTGAGGTTTTGCTCATTGAAGAAACTGGAAAAGTTGATCACTGTTAATTGAAATGGAAACTGAATGTTTCTTTCTTCTTCTGTCGAAAGTGCATCCTTCATCATTGAAGATTAACCCGCTGCAGAGTGGTTGTGTGCGGTGCAGTCAGTATGGCACTAACCAGACTTCAGGTGCAGATTATATTTACCTGTGTACAAAGTTTTATACATGAGAGTACATGTTTTAAAATATTTCAAAAATTTGGGGGGCTACTTTTCAAGCTTGCTTTCATGAAAATAACACTATTTAATTTGTTTTGCATTGAACTCTATGCAAATTTTGGCATTTTAGGGGCGAAATCGCCTGAGCACCCGTGTGATTTTTCCCCGATGTTTTATTCTTCTTCCTCCTTCTTCCTTTTGAGTACAGACCTCTATACAGAGTATTATCAAACTATACTGGGGGTGTGTGCAGGTGAACCACTACACCGGGGTTTCCCCCTACTCTTATACGAATAGTGCAGTGGGTTCTTGACGTGCAAAGGTAGTGACTCTTCTCTACACGGGGCCTTAATTTAACGTCCTATCCGAGGGACGGAGTGTTTTCCACTTGACATAACCTGCATCTATGAACAAGAGAAGGGGCACGTTAACACACAACGCAGGCTTCAGTCATCCGCCTGGGTGGGAGTCGAAGCCGGGATCTTTGGTTCGACAGCTTTACCGACTGAGCCAGCTCGTCTCCTTATTAAAGGAGCTACACAAAGAAAATTCACTAACAACTGATAATTAGAACAAATTACATATAGATGGAAAGATTTTCTCTTGAAAAACATGAATAATTTGCTGAGAATTCATATAGAAATCATGGAAAGGCGTAAAATGCAATTTTCAAGACCCTTCCTAGACCCCCAAGCGCCCCCGAACGTAAGCCAAACACACGAGCGTAGCGAGCTCTGAATAGTGACGTCACACACTGGACAAACAGCTCAGTGCCGTGTAGCAGTCTGCAGCTAGCCAGCCGTGTCCCGTATGTGACGTCACAAATATTGACGCTCTATAAAGGACCGCTAATTCAGGCAGAAAATCTGGATCTCAACACTAACATTTTTGAGAGTTGATTACTGCGGGCCCCCAAACATATTTTGAAGAAAAGAGTTGTTGTATTTGATCTGCAAGGCTTCCCCTTCGCAATGATATGAGTTTTGCATCAATTCAAAACACTTTTGATTCTTTGTGTGTCTACTTTAAACAAAACAAAAAACTTAACTTAAAGAAACATTGTACTACAGTGTACATGTACCTTTTTATTGACAGAAGAATAATTAATGTACCTGGTATGTAAATATAAACCTATTTGCTGTCAGTAGAAGTTCTAAGCTTCAGGATTTGTGAATAATTTTCTAAAGGTTGCTTTGCAGATGAATTACTTACCTTTAGATGAGATATCTCATGTTTGCACTAATGTATTTTTTTCTTTGCAGTGAAAGCCACAATGCCAATATTTACAGTATTTTTATCACGGCTGGTCCTAGGAGAAAAACAAACAACAAAGGTAAGACAATTGGCATATTGAATTACTGAGATGTATTTTTCACTAGAACACTTTTTTTTCCTAGTATACCGGTAGTTTAAATGAAATTGAAATGTACCAAACAAAATAATTTGTGTCTCACTAGAACATGTAATAAGGTTTTCTCTGATTTAACGGTTAAGGAATCTGAATAAAAAAAAGAGAACATAAAGTTAATGATTTGGGACAATTTGTAAAACTTTATGTACACTGTTGAAAAAATCTTGGTTCAGGGTTTAAAGGTCAAGTGATACATCTGTTGTAATATGGAATGTTGAGGTAATTATGCCATAATGTATTATAGTGTATTGGTGCATTAGTGTATAAGGAATTGTAGGTGGAGCAGTCTACAATGTAAGCTACCCCCCCCCCCCTTCCTCATCAGACAATAGCCTTACTTTCCCGCCTTTTTGGGGGTACCTGTATTGCCCAATGTACTGATACCCTATAGGCATGATTGGGGATCCTATTGTAAGTTTTAGTGGATGAGTGATTTTCTTTTGTTCGGGGTCTGTGCACCCAGAGCTGCTATAGCAGGGACAGAGAGACATTGTAGATTGGAGAGAGAGGAGAGAAGCACTAATTTGTGCCTGCTAATGGAGATTGTTATTTACTTCTGGCAGATCACAAGTCATGTAAGTTGATTTATACTGTTGGAACTGATGATTATTATATATATTTCATATTATTAATGGATGTCACATTTTATGAATTGCTGAAGATAAGATAGTGAAAGTTGAGGATTGTTGAACCATGTTGTATGTACACTGATATAATGACACTTTATGATAAATGTGATTAACTTATTTCATTTGCATTACATGTATCATGCTTTATAAAGTAGATTATTATGCTTGAATTTCTGATAATGATGAAATGATAATTACTCTGACAAATTAAATTAATTTTAAGTTTGTCTTTATATAGATTGAAAACATGTTTCTGTTAAACAAAGTCAATTAAAAGAATGACTACCAAAGAGGATTTATATATATATATATTTGAATGTAATTACATTGTGTCATGCAGTTTTCACAAAGTCATTATTGTGAAGTAAGAATTGTTATTTTATTGTTGTTACCTTTAGGGCTGCATGTGGTGAAATCTCCTTATTTGATGAACTACACTTTCTACAATAAGGTGGAAGCTTTGTTTATGATCAGGGGTCGGACGACAGCATATAGCGTTAGTGTTGCTTCGTCGTTATAGTATTGGCCGGTGAGTGGAGTTTGGCTCTATTGTGTATAGATATATATATGACCTAATATACATGCAATTGTAAACCGATTATTGCACGAAATGATGTAAAATGTACAATATTCTTCTGTCCTATATATGTTCTAATTAATTATGGCAACTATACTGCTACAGACAATTAAAACAGTTAAGCTACCTTTCATGATATTGCACATAATAAGAATTATTATTGAAAATTGAATAATGTATTAATTGATGACTCGTGTTGAGTTGGAAACTATTGCAATGTTTACACTTTAATTTGTTCTGTTTAATGGAAGAAAGCAAATGAAACCATGAATTGTTTGTTATTACATTTTGCTCCAGAGGCTATATGCTAATTATATTTCGTTCAAATTTTGTTCTTGTACAGGGGCTGTGTTTTCTTTGGTGAATAAATGCAAGACTAAAGTTTACGTTGGACTCCCTAGCTGTTGTCATTTCTGAATCTCAATAATGGTGTCAGAAGTGGGATGACTGACGGCGAGGGACAACTGGACTGAGATCATCTGCACGGATACTGACCAACCTCCAACTTCTTGCGGCCGTGACGTCGTCGGCTGGCGATATTTGGTGTCAGCAACGTCCGGAGGCAAAAGTGAACATTGGACAGACAGTGAACATTCAACAGCCTCGGCCAGATACATTGTGACCTTTAATGAATTTGAAGAACATGTTCATGTAATGATACACATGATTGATGATTTGTTCGTTTAAGTTTGCTTGTTGTGAAATATTATTGTTCCTGTTGAATTTCATAATTAACACATTTAAGTGCAGGAAAATGGCCCCTACATCTACGACAACAACTGTGACAACAACAACAACTACCACGTCGACAGCATCATCCACACGACCTACTATGACACCAAGGGAGCAACCTTCAGACATGGACATGCTGTCACAGTTCTTTCGTCGTTCCATTGGGCTACAGAGCATTCTCCAGAGCAACTTGCCCAAGTTTAGGGGAATACCACAACACGCAAACGACATTGCACTATCGGAATGGCTTGAGGAGTTCTATGAGATCACTGCTCAACACAACATGGAAATGGGCAGTAAGGCCAGACTTCTTGTAGATCACCTTGCAGGACCGGCAAGGGAGGAAATTATGTGCCTTAGTGAATCCCGAAGACGTGATTTTGATGAAGTTGTAGCATGTCTTAAACTATGTTTTGGCTACGAGGAAAATACACAGTCGTTGAGCAGCAAGTTCCATAACCGCGTACAGAGAGAAGGGGAATCGCTTTGTGACTTCAGCCGGGCCTTGATACGCCTATACATAAAGCTGGAGAAGGCAGCAATCACTCAAGCCCAAGGTGAAGCTTTGGCACAATTAAAAGACAAAGCTTTGAGTGACCAATTTGTAAATGGCGCACGTGAGGCTTGGGTCAGGAGGGAGTTGAGACGCATCCAATTAACTCATGGGCCCAGTGGGTTCAATAGGATGAGAGCAGAGGCACTCCAGCTTTTCCAGGAGTCTCCAACAGCTCAGCGTACCAGAATCAGAGAAGCGGACGTCGAGGTCGGACGGGTGGTCACATCAGATTCTGCACATCTTCTGCAACAGATGGTAGACCAACAGACAACTATTATGACTGAACTAGAACAGCTGAGAGGGGAGGTTACACGATTGAAAAATGCCAAACCTCAGAGAAGGAGGGTGAGTAGTGGATGTTTTCATTGTGGTCAGAAGGGACACTTTATAAGGGAGTGTCCCAACATGACACATATGCCTACCAACATATTCCCCGCTGCTGCTTCTAATTACAACTTCTCGGATGGACCCAGAAGCCAGAGGAATTACGACTTTCCTGCTTGGAGTCAGGAGTCGGGTACCAGGAACCAGGATAACTTCAATTTGCCTGCAACGCGTTATCAGGCTCCATCCCAGCCACATGCCATCCAGAGGAATTATGATTTTCCTGCTTGGAGTCAGGAGTCGGGTACCAGGAACCAGGATAACTTCAATTTGCCTGCAACACGTTATCAGGCTCCATCCCCGCCACATGCCACCCAACGTCACCTTCCTCACCAGGATGTCACCCCGCAGGCGGAAAACTAGCTTCCTCTGCTGTTGAGGGCAAAACAGCAGGGGACAATGAACAACAGGACAAGACAGAAGAGCCCATGGGACAAAGCTCCCATAAGCTACAAGCCGACACGCCTATAACAGACAAGAGGGAGATTGACACAGAAACGAGATTTGCACATTCCAGACAGACCACTTTGGAAGAAGCTGCGCTGACAATAGATGAAATAATGTGTGACAGCGAAACAGAATTGGTTTCAGAAAGTCCGACCGCAATAGCAGAAGTTGCCGGCGTGAAAATTGGTTGCGTCTTAGACACTGGAGCAGAGGCTTCGATAATACCCTCAGACGTATTTCACTCGCAGCTTCAGGAAGCAGCAGGAGATGTCAGCCCATTGAAAAAACTGGTAAAAATTGTTGGGGTGGGTCCAACAAAGGTTCCTGTAGAAGGCTTTATCCGCACTCGAGTTTTGCTGAACGGCAAAGAAGCTTCCGTCGGGTTCCTTATCGTGAACCGAGAGTCTTGTGGAGCTAGACAAAAAGACTTCCCAATTTTATTGGGATGTAATGCACTACGAGCTTTTTTTCCACCAGAGGAAACTCAAGAAGAATTCCAGTTAGTAAAGGACTGCTTGAAATTTAAAGGAGTGGACAATGCACAAATACGAGAGGTTGTCACGGGTGCCTTGGAGGTAGTGTTGCCAGCCAGGACCATACAACATGTAGAATGTGCGATGAAGTCCTCTCAAGGTGGTGAAGCTGCCAATGAGTCAAGTGTCTGGTTCATCCAGGATCTGACTAAGCTGGAGAGTTCTCAAGTTCATGTGATTGAAGGTTGTGCTACCGGGAATAGAGAGTTACGTTTACTCCTTATTAATGCTGGAGAAAATGAGTACATCCTACCACCTCACTCAATTGTGGCATCTGCTGTGCAAGCAGAAGAACGAAGTGAAGTTCATCTTCAAAACAGAGAGGACCAACTTGAGGTGGATGTTTGTAATGTAATGATTGCCACAACAGAATCGGTTCAAGATGACAACGACAATGTTGGCCAGTTCGAACACAGAGGAGAAACCCAACCAACAAATGATATCACTACACAGGAAACGTTTACCTTCACTGATGGAACAGAAGTATTGCTTCCTCATGGCCTCAGCTTATGTGGGATGGACTATCATGAGGCATCTAGGATTGCTAAACTTCTAGCAGATCATGAAGCAGCTTTTTCCAGAGATGAGTTTGATTTGGGACAGTGTGATCTTATCCCTCATGAGATAAAGGTGACCTCTGACAAGACAATACGCCTGCCATATCGAAGAATTAACCCCAACGAGACATCAGAAGTTCGTGAACTTCTGCAAGACATGCTTGAACGAAAGATCATCAGGGGGTCTGTTAGCCCATATGCAAGCCCAGTCGTTTTAGTTAGAAAACGATCAGGAGCCCTACGCCTATGTATCGACTACCGACAATTGAACAAGATTACAGTGAAAGACTCTTTCCCGTTACCCAGAATTGATGAATCCCTGGAAGTCATGGATGGGGCTAGATACTTCTCTTCTCTGGATCTGTCTCATGGGTACTTTCAAATCACCATGCATCCTGACTCTGTGCCCTTGACCGCTTTTCGTGTTCCATGGGGACTCTTCGAATTTGAGAGAATGCCGCAAGGTCTTTGCAACAGTCCAAGCACCTTCCAGAGGGTGATGGAGGTGATCTTCAGTGATATGAACTTCACAAAACTAATTCTGTACCTCGATGATGTGTTGGTATTTTCTAGAACTTTTGAGGAACATTTGGAAAGACTTGGAGAAGTTTTTGCCCGGTTGACGAAGCATGGTCTAAAGTTGAAAGGAGAGAAATGTCACTTGTTCAGGGGAGAAGTTGCCCACTTAGGACACATCGTCAGCGAGAAGGGCGTGATGGTCGATCCAAGCAAGGTGGAGAGAATCAAGAGTTGGCCAACACCCCAGAATGGATCAGAGTTGAGGTCTTTCCTTGGCCTTGCGTCGTACTATCGGAGGTTTGTCCCTGACTTCACAAGACTGACAGCTCCTCTTCATGCACTAATCGGACAGAAGTCGCAAAAGAAGAGAAAGAGGAAGCCTGAGAAGACTATGCTTAATCCAAAGTTTGTGTGGACAGACAAAGCAGAAGAATCCTTTCAAAAACTGAAAGAAAGACTGTCCTCAACTCCAGTGCTAACCTATCCGAAGTTTGGAAAAGAGTTTGTTCTCGAGGTTGATGCTTCTCTCAAAGGACTAGGTGCCTGTCTATCACAGGCAGATGAAAACGGTCACCTTCACCCGATCTCATTCGCAAGCCGCAGTCTACGTGGAGCTGAAAATAACTACCCGGACTTCTCCAGCTTCAAGATTGAACTGTTAGCACTGAAATGGGCGGTGGTAGAGAAGTTCAAAGGATATCTGATAGGTTCAAAGTGTACCGTCTACACAGACAACAACCCGTTGGCCCATCTTCAAACCGCCCAACTGGGGGCAACTGAACAACGATGGGTAGCCCAGCTAGCACCCTTTCAGCTAGACATCAGATTTCGCCCTGGCAAGCTCAATAAATGTGCTGATGCTCTCAGCCGCTGTCCTGGCAATGATGAACAAGAGGTGAGAGAGATGATCGGTGCTCTGACAGTAACTACTGTCTTACCAGTGGAAGTTACAGTAAACAGTGATCAGGGGCCAGAAGAAGCACCTCGGGCAGCTCCTGAAGTATACCCATCATATTCCACAGAGAAACTTGAGATTCTGCAGCAGCAAGATGATGCACTGTCAGCTTGCAGACAATACATAAGAGATGGATGGAAGCCAGAGGATGAAATGAAAAGCGAGAACAGAGAGACAAAGTCCTGGATGAAAGAACGCATGTACCTCAAAGACTGTGGAGGGGTATTGTACAGACGACCACCAGATTCCAAACATCCACAGAGAAGACAGTTGTTAGTTCCCAAAGGCCTCCAAGAGAAGATGCTACAGATGGCTCATGACCAATGGGGCCATCAAGGGATAAACAGAACCATAGCAATCCTGCGAGAAAGATGTTTCTGGCCAGGAATGTGTAATGATGTGAGAGCACACATCAAGAAGTGCTTTGCCTGCATTGCAGCTAAGACGCCAACACCGACAATACGAACTCCAAGACGACACTTGCTGGCATTCAAGCCCCTAGAACTGATCGCAATCGATTTTCTGAAATTGGATAAGGGTCAAGGTGGATACGAGGATGTCTTGGTAATCACTGATGCATTCACCAAGTTTGCACGAGCAATCCCCTGCAAGAACCAGACTGCAGCAGTTGTTGCACGTGCCTTAATCGATGGTTGGATAGTCCACTACGGTGCTCCACTACGTATCCACTCCGATCAAGGAC